TTTTAATATTATATTTTATATACTATATTATAAAAATAGTTAAAAACCTTAATAAATCTCCAATAAATATCTAGTAAGCCTTTTAAAATTTTTAATAAGATTCTCAATAAATCTCTCTAAAATTCTAAATAAATATGTAATGAAACTTCTAAAATATGCAGTAAATCTTCATACAATTTTAAATAATAATGAATCTCTTAAAGAAAACTTATTTAAAAAGCTTAAACCCAATTAATTCCACTCATATGAAATTAACTTCAATTTATAGCTAGCTTTATATCTAATAACACATAATTCAATCACAATTTATTTTTAACAAAAAAGATATCTAATGATCGATAGGTAGTATATCTAATAATAGTAATAATAGGAGATAGAAGCACAATTTATGGTTTTATATAGAATTAAAGAGTTGTCCAAAAAAAAAAGATATATAATGATGTAATGATTGTTGAAAGTGCAAAGAGTGACCAAAAATAAATAATATACTGAGAGAATAAGAAAGAAAAGAATAATAACAAATAAATTATGAATATTTGACTACACTTTCCATGATGTACTAATGCGTGAAGTCTCCACTACAACATTAACTTTGCTTTTTTTATAATATTTATTTTCATTTAGAGTGAAATGACTTCAACCTAACCTTTCCATCAATATGTATACATTATAATGATGAAGAAATACAATTGCTCCACATGATTTTATGCATTGTTTCTGTTCAAAATTCAATCTTTTTTTTGATGAACACAAATTTCATTAATTTGATATACTAAACCAATGCCACATGCTTCTAGCCCAACGATGACTTTCCTTTCTCTTTTTGTTTTCATTCCTTTTCATCAAGTATTAGATCAATTAATGTTTCACTTTCTTCTCTATACTTTTTGCACAAAACTTTCTTTTATATGCTTTTCACACGTTAATATATAATCTAATATTCCAATAAACCTTAACTTATTCCATGTCATAAAACTTTCTTCTCTACACTTTCCACACGTTAATAGATATTCCAAAAAACCTTAACTTATTCCGCACGTTGATATACTAAACCCACACCACATGCTTCTAGCCCAACAATGACTTCCCCTTCCCCTTTTTCTTTCATTCCTTTTCAACAAGTATTAGAGCAATTAATTTTCCACTTTCTTCTCTACACTTTTTATACGCTAATTATAGTTTCACATAAAACTTTCTTCTCTACACGTTTCATATGTTAATATATAGTCCAATATTCCAGAAAACCTTAATTTATTCCATGTCTTTCAGTTGAAGAATTCTTCATTACCATAATAGAATACTACATTAATAGTATTCTAACCAATAAAATGTTTATAAATCATAAAATTCTTTTTCCATCACATTCATTAAAGGTTCCTCATGTTGGTTCTTGTTAATTATGGTTTCCACAAAAGACTGGATTATAAACAACTATTAGTTGTCACAAATCAACTATTAACCATGAATTTTCTTGAAATAGCTAAATCAAGCAAGAAATTAGGACACTATAACAAGAAATGTAGCTGGCTGAAAAATGAGAAACATCACAAATATAACTTACATAGACTTACAGTAAATTAAAGTTGTTAAAAAATGTCATTATGATGTTAGTGAAGTACACAGACAAACAAAGATCAGCTATATGAACTTAATCTTCTGACATTGTTTCTGTTTTCTTAATGAAACAATTTAGATTCTTGATAAAAGATTTATACCTTTCACTT